CAGGGTCCAGAACATTGCAAAATAAAATCATACTATAACGTGTTAAGTTGTCAGAAAATAGATTACTCACCATCCCAGCTGTATCTGTTTCTGTAGAATTTGATGCAAATCGACTAACTTTCCAACTTGAGCTTGATGATACAGGAGAGCTAGATCCATCAGGTATTAGATCTTGATAATATTTAGACAATGTTTTGTATCCCATATCACTAAGATTGATCAGCCCTGCTGCCAAATGCTTGCTAGATTCCATGGCATATCGAGCTACGAGGTTTCCACTGCTGGGTGATGTAGATGGGCTGCCAGCAGGAGGAGTAAGACTCTGAGGACTCAGGCGACCAGTATTTGACAACAATGGGCTGTTTGAGGCATAAGCTAACCACCGGGGACCTACAGCCATAGGACCGTAGCCAACATTAACCCCAATCATTCCTTGTCCTCCCAACTGAGGTACGGGGTAAGTGAGAACACTGAATTTATTCTCAAGTGTAAGAGCGTCAAAACAATATATCTGCGAGCAACGTATAAATGAAGGAAACAAATTAGGCAGATTTTACCTATGGCAATAGCAAACTAGGTTGCTGTATTACGATGAAATTATAAATAGTATACATAATTGATCCATTAGGTGACAGGATAATCTATAATTAACCTGCAAAGTTACATTATGTTCAAGGAAATTGATAAGACCTGCCCATAATCTACCAAAACAATAATATACTAAACTTCCTCAACAAAGTAACATGTATTTTTTCAGAACTAACAATGAAAGTGCTACAAACAAATTGAAAGTACTTAGTCAAAAACCATACTTGTGTAGCTAGACCAACCGCCACCATTCGAGGACTGCACCTAACCATGTATACAGTTGAACGAAATCTCAGAGCGTGAACGTAGGTATGGGACCTTAATGAGTAAAACCGAACTGCTGTAGCTGAGCTAACAATATTTTCCGCTTGAGCTTCATTATGGCCATCTCTTACATTTAGCATTTTACCGGGGATCTTTGATTTATCACATGCAACAACCAACAGTAAAGGGTGGGATGCTCCAAATCCTTCACAACCTTCTGATTTTGCAGGGACAGGCTGCATCTGTAAAAAGGAAACTGGATCATCACGTCTAGACACAAGTTCCCTGACACTAGAGGCATCTTCCACGTCAAGAACTTGAAAGCCATTGGAATAACCAAGTAAGAGGACATGCTTGAAAGAAGACGGACTTAGTTCTAGCCTGTCAAAGCAAGCCCAAAGCACCTGTTCCACAAATAAAGAGGTAAATATTTCTGATTCCATCCATAAGTAAAAAGTTTACAGCCGGAGAGCAATTGCGAAGTTTGCCACATGGCAGTGTTGATCAAACTATAATTCCATTACTACAATTGGGATCCGTAAATTACTCGATAGTGCCAGAACACAGTGAATGCTTCTAATAACTAGCACATACATAATTCCTATTCTATATCCCAGTTTAACCCTATCCGCAATTACAAGGCCCGTTAGAAGTTGTTTAACCACTCCATTACCATCGAACAAACCAGTCTCAGATTAATCATGTTCAGCAATCATGAAAAAAAAAACATCTCTTCAATTTTTTTGGAGTTAAAGAAATCGCTATTGTTAATCAGAATATTCAATGCCTCTTCGTACAAAAACAAAGGACAAAAAGAAAAGAAAACTATTGGAAATGGAATTGCATAGAAATAGCCATGTGGTTTACGCTCTTAGCTTCATTTAATAATCCAGAATAAATGTAACACCAATGTTATAGACAAAACACATGAAATAGCAATAAACAGTTCATTCCTGAGATTGGAGACAGTGTCTCAACCAAAAAAGAGCATCTCTATAAAGACAACCCAGCATAGGCAAGTTTTTGCCGCACTAAATTTTCCTCAATGAACAAAGTTCAAAACGCAAGCATGTTTGACTTGTCAGTTTTCAACAGCATTCACAAATCGCAATTTCAGAAGGCAACGCCAACTGACAAGTTTCGAAGAGTAGCACTCACGCAAAAATGCTACCTGGTCTCTGCGGTCGTGTCCTTCCCCGGATAAGGAGGCAGCGACGGAGGCACCGGCGGAACGTACGCCGGAGGACGCCGTCTTAATGCAAGACGATATGAACTTGAAGGAAGAAGGAACGAATCCATTGCTGCTCTTGCTTCCACCGTTGTCCTTGGTCTGATTCTTCATAATAAGGAGATAAACTGTTTTCTACGGGCCACCGGTGAGTCACCGGGAATTCCGTCGACGAGAGTCGCGGAACGCAGGCGATCGAATATAGCATAAATTGAGAGGCGTCGGGATTCGCCGTGCGCGGCGGCGGAGAACTCCGGCGATACGTGTTAGTTGGTGGTTGAGGAAATTTGACCTTAACGAAGACGGTTCCTCTTCTCTCTCTCCGTATCTCTCTCTCTCTCCCGTTTCGAGTTTAGACTCAGCGCTACTCCGCTTCTGCTTGGTGCTAATCTCAACTCTTATTTTACTATTGCCACTTCGCTCCCACGACATTTTCCAAAATCCCCGTTACGTCCCTTTCTTATGCTTTCAAACTTCAACTTCGCTCCAAATTACCATCCACCCCTGCGTCTCTTCTTTTCTCCTTTTTTTTTCAACTCATAATAACAGTTATAAAATATTATTTATTATTAATTATATTTATTTATTTATATTTACATTTATTTTGCCGAGGCAAACGAAGGGGTTTGGTTGGTGGATGGGAAGGACGGTTTGGTTGGTAATTGAATGCTTGGAAGCAAATTATTGGTGGATGAGTGTGAGGGGCAAATTGGACATTACCTTGCTGAACTCGTGTGTTTCGTGCGTGTAGTATTTTGATAGTATAAGATTGGGGGCGTTATCGAGTTACGAGCAAGTTTAGGGGACAATTCCAATACGCAAGTATTTAGGGGTGCCTTGAGGAATTAAAATAGAATTATATAATATTCTTATGAAAAGAAAATTTCTAACAACAAATTATATTTTTTTGTCATATTGATTATATTGTATCACATGTTTTTCTCTTAGTAGTTTTTTTTTTGTGTAATTTTTATAAATTGATGAAGAAGTATAATTTGTCGTAAAAAATAGAGTCCACACGGCATGTTGATTACCAAAGGGACAAGGCGTGGGAATATCTTAAACTAGATGCGAACCTAATTAAAATAAATTTTATTTCCCTTCCAACATCAACTTGTTTACCAAGAAAGTGACAATAATAATTGAGTCGTAATTATAGGTAGAGTTAGAGTGGATGTAAATCCACCTCGGGAATTTTTATTTATTTTTAACCAGTTTTATTTAGGGTTATGTGTATATTTGGAAATAGGGGTACCCAGATAAATATATGAACAGTTCAACTTTTACACGAGTATAAATTTAAATGTTAACATTTATCATATAAAGATAGACAAATAAATATAACAATTTATATTAGATCTTGTATTAAAATATATACATGATATCTCTTAGATAAAAACTCAATCATTTTAATGAGAATAAATTACTTGAACAATAATATATTAAAATTAGTCAGTTTTTTTTCATTATTCATCATTTGAATAATTTTTTTGTTTAAGTAAGAAATATAAATATTAACATCTCATAACCAGGGCGGATCTTCTTAAAGGCTATATATGATACAATGATTCTAAAAATTTTGTATATGTATGGTGAGGGCTTATGAAAATTAAATTAGATAATTATTTTATTTTTTTATCAAATATGTTATTTATGTTAATAAATAATAAAACATACAATTAAGTATAATAAAAATAAAAAATTCATTAAGATATTTTCTTACTTTTTTTCTCTATTTTTTCTTGATTTATTTATTTCTTTTCTTCATCTTTCACTCTTTCACATTTCTTTTTCCGAAAGAAATATTAAAAACATATTTATTATTTTTATTTTCATTTATAAAATGTTGTGTTTCATTTAGAAGAAAACAAAATTGTCCCTTAATATTAAAATTTTGATTTCTTAAATTTTTACTCATAAGTATACAAGTTTTGTATAGTAAATTTTTTTAATATATAGAAAAAAATTTTATTATATATTGTTTTTATAATTCTATTTTAATTATGACTAGATTATTAAATATTTTATTAATAATTGAATCTCTTAATATTCAAATATATTATGATAGTTTATTTTTTAGTTTTAAACTTTTTCCATGAGAGTTAAATTAAAGAATAAATTCATCCTTTAAAAGTAAAAAGGAAGCGAACATAAAAATAATATATTTAAATTTTTTGAAACATGATGTTATTGATTAATTAGGTTTAATCATTCCAGGTTTCCATTTTTCTGTTAATGTTAGAAGTTGCGTACCAGTTTCTTTCATTTCTATTGTTTCAATTTGATCATTATTTTCTAAAAATTAAAACAATCACATGACACATTCTTTTATCAGTTTCTTTAATTTCTATTGTTTCAATTGGATTATTATTTTCTAAAAATTAAAATAATCACATGACACATTCTTTAATAATGTAGTAGGTATTAGTGATAAGGGTCTGATTATTTTAATTTTTCAAAATTAGAAACTCAATTAAGATAAAATAATAATTAAGAGTCTGATATGCGATCTAAAAAAACGAGAAATTATGAAATGATTAAACTTATCTAAACTGTTCTTAAATACTCTCAAACTTTATGAATGAACTAAAATTACTCATTTTGAACTTCCTAAAATAGAATTTTAATAAATATTTAATTGAAAAGTTACAAATTTATTAAAGGCTCAAACCATAATTAAGCCTTTTAATTATATATTTATATTTAATAAATATCTTTTTAATATATACTTTAATATAATTAATACGTGATTATTAATATTAAAACAAAAACAAATTTTAATTTCAATTTAAATTCTAAAATTATATTTAATCATTTTCATGTTACCTTAACACGGGATTCATTTCCATGACGATGACACTAAAGAAGTTTACCTCGAGAATTTTATACATCTATGTAGTCCTAAAAACTAACAATGTCTTTAGTTCTCAAGACCCAATGCAATCTCTTGATGCCGCTTGAGATCTCTTAGAAATTTTGTTGAGTTGTATTCTTGCACATCTAAGAGCTCTTCTGAGTAAGTTCTTTCCAAAAGTCTCCTTCCACTTGCTCGTTTAGATTTCATAACATGTTGTTCCCCTCTTAGTAGCGCCACAATCTGCATATCCATAAAAAACTATGATCAATCTTTGTATTTTCTTCTCTTTTTTCTTTTCTTTTCACCATCTCCTTGTTCCTTTCTTAATTTTCACACTTGCCTGCCTCATTCTGGGGCGTAAGATAGGACTCTGTTCAATACACAGCGATGCAGTTACAATTACACAACCCAACTTCCCTTTATCATAATCATCACCAAGTGAAGGATCAACAAGGTCCTTTGTATGATTGTCACAAAGCAAAGGTTTTGCCTATATCACAACAAAAGATAAAACGTTAAGGTCTGCATGCATGCATGTGCAGCTATACAATAGATAATATAAGTTAAATTAAGTTTTAAGTAAATAATTTAATATATGTGTATTTTCAATTGATTTCTTATTAACTTTTTTTCTATTGGATATTGACAATATATTTTACAATTCAGTCTTATTATTTAATTATTTTTTTTATTGAATGACGTGACTTTTTCTTGTCCATTATCTTACTTTTTTGGAAATATGAAGTGTTGTGATTAATATAAAACAATATTATAATTATAAAATAATAAATAATTTTTTTAATTTAATATTTTATATTAATTATAATATTTTAAATTTTTTAATATTTTAAAATAAGAATGTAAAATAATGGAGGCAAGAAAATAATCATGTCATCCCAGTCACAAGAAATTAAATAATATATAGATGCTTAAATGAAAAATATAATTTTTTTATATATTCAATAAGTAAAATTTTTAGTAAAGATTTAATTAAAGATACACATTGACAATTTGAAGCTTAATTCAGTCTATAATATATCGCTTTTATGAAAATGATTTACCCATAATACAATATTTTGCTGCAAATCATTCAGCGCTGGGCGCCCGGATATGATCTCCAAAAGCAGGACCCCAAATGAATAAACATCAGTTTTTTCATCTACTATTCCGTGCATGAAATATTCAGGAGCAAAATAACTGTCAAGTGATTCATCAGGGAAACTTATTAAATCATCATGAGAACCTAAACTCTGATAACTTTTTTTCACTGCTTCTTTTCATTTTCTCTTTCATTTTTCATAAAACTAAAAACTAGTAAGACAACACATTTTGCTTTCAGCATTTTACAAAGCTTTAAAAACATGTTGCACAAAATCTTGAATTGAAAAATGGGAATGCCAGACTTAAAAGAATACCATCAGTAACTTTTTTTTATTTACATACCCAAATGTGCCTTCAAATTTTGATACATTATAGTGAGTCCACTGTTCAGGTAACCACTTTGCAAGCCCAAAATCACATATCTAGAAAACAATTAAATTATCAAGGAAGTGATATATAAAAAACAACCAGGAATATATACAACCTTAAAACACTCTTTGATCAAGTTTAATAGTATAACATAAAATGTAACAAGTCATGAAAGGTAACATTTAACAATTAACACAGAACATGACATGAAAACTGTTAAAATATTATCTTTTGGCAAAATTTGAAAGAGAAAAAGATAATAAGGATAATTAGAAAACAACTTCTTGCTGCTTAATTAGTGATAATACAAGGAGACATTTTCACGAGCAATAGAATATAAACTCAGTTTTTTTTATGAGAGGATGCAAATTTGCCTCTTATATTACTAAAATAAGCCGATTTTTAAAAAAAATGAAAATAGATAAATTATGTAATTCGCACACCATTTCATATAAAAATAGACAAATTTTAAAAATATTATCAAATTGTGTATTCTCTAGACGACTTCAATTTTAGTATACTTAAAAAGTTGAAGTCGTATACTCTTTAAACGACTTAAACACGTTTTAATCGATTATGAAAATTGATAATCGATTACGTAAAATTAGAGTAACGTGGGTGGGATATACAACTTAAAAATTGAAGTCATGTATAAGAGTAGACAATTTGGACTTTTTCAAATATAACAGACTTAAAATCATCTAAAAGATGCACACTTTCTTCGTATAAGTCAAATGGAAATTGTGCAATTTATCTATTTTCATAAATTTTAAAACTGTGTACTTTCGTAATATATGAGACAAAAGACAAAAGCCATAAATTTAACTTTGCCTATACATACATTGGAAAACAACATAAGATGATTATAACAGCAAAACTTAATATAAAATTGATAAAACTAATATAAGTTGATTATAACAGCAAAACGTAAGATAAAATTGATAAAACTAATGACTAAGCTAACACTCCTACACAGACGACAAGTTTAAACCAAGTTTAGTGAAAACCTGTGGCTCAAAATTATCCGTGACTAGAATATTCTCTGCCTTAATATCTCTGTGAATGATTCGTCTGTGACAACACTCATGCAGATAGAGGAGACCATCAGCTATTCCCAGAGCAATTTTATACCTTTTACTCCAATCTAGTTTGTTTTTATCTGAACCTGGAATACATAATGACAAAATAAACATGAAATACGTAGTAACAACTTTCAGGTACGAGGATACTAGAATCAAAATAGGTACAAACCATGAAGAAGAGATCCTAAACTTCCTAGTGTAGATAGTTCAAAGACAAGATGCATTTCTCTTTCTACACAACATCCAACCAGCTTGGCAGTATTAGGATGGTCAACGTGAGCAATTACGCCTAACTCAGATAGAAAGCCCGCAGTTTTTTCTTCTGTGGTTCCTTTATTCAATTTCTTCACAGCTACTAATTGTCCATCTTCGAGACACCCCTTGTAAACTTCAGCAAAACCACCTCTTCCGATTATATTTTCTACATGTAAAAGAGCAAATATATAAGAGTGAAAAATGAGTATCAGAATCAAATTTTGACCTAATTAGGGTGAGGTTTCATTTCATACCACTGTCAAAATTGTTGGTCGCTTTTCTGAGGTCAGAAAGGCTAAAAGTGACCCAAGAAGAGTTGAAGTTACATAGCTTGCTAAGAGCGTGATTTTCTCTAGTACTTCTGCTTTTCCATTTTGGTATCTTTGGAACACTAATATTGGAGAGGGTCCCTAGCCGTTTAAAAGATTTTTTCTTGAAAAGTTTGAAAAAATTGGTCCAGTTAGAGTGTGCCCTTGTGCTTGAACAACTTTTTTCTGGTTTAGTAAATATTCGAGAATCAAAGTCTTTCATGTATACTTCTAAGACTCCTCTTGGTGATGCCCCATTCTCTTTTTCTTTCTCCAATTCTAAATGCCTCAAATCTGGGAACATAAAAATGGAAATCATGAACAAAAAACAAAAGAAGCCTTGAGTCTTCTCAATTGAGATGAAAGGTTAGGATTTGAAAAGAACCATGAGCAGAAGATGAGCAAGACAAATCTTTTTTTTCAGGTTTAAGATTTAAAGCATCCCAAAGTGAAACCTTTTTCGATTTAGTCGCATTTTCCTGGTCCCTGTAATTGCATGTCCCATTATATCTCATAACAGAAAGTTATAAACAAAAAATGGATATTGATTTTGCATGATCTTAGGGCAACATTTACGCGGAAGAAGAGACATGGATACCATAAACACTTTTCTAGCGCTTGCTTGGCCATGAAAGAGAAGAAAAGACAAAAGAGAACGATGCAACTTGATGGTTGGGAAACTGAGAGGCCCTTGTTGAATAATTAAACGTGTTTTATTTCTTTGTATGTTAGAATGTGCAGTGATGGAGATGGATGAAATCCATAATGGAAATCAGAAAAAGGATTAATTAGGTTAGATTGTGTTACATTAGACATTGATGAGATGAAAGCATGTTGTGTTGTGGCGATATGTGCTCTCAACCAATGACAAACGAGAACATTACAGACAGGGAAAGCCAAGTGAACGACTTACGAGGAACGAAGGTTTGGAGTAGAACCCACCATTAGTTTTATTAGGGTTACTTTTTTCGATTTTATATCTACTTAATCCTAAAAATATAATTAATCAAGTGTGTTATTAGTGAATTTAGATTTAAAAATAGAGGATGTGCACTGCCTCTTTCCTCAATAATAATAATAATCAGTTAATTATACTATATCTTTTGGTTACACTTAAATTATTATCTCAAACATATGAGATTTACATTTTATTTTTATTATTGTTAAAGATCCTATTTGGTGTCAAAATATGTATATATACTTATTCAGTTTTATACCTTAATTAGTATGTAAACATATGTATCAAAATTATATTTAATGTTCTATTTGAAAATTAATTTTCCCAATTCCCTTAAAGAGATCCTCTTTAATATCATGCTTGTTTATTTACTTTAGACACTAGTGACACTAAAAATAGTTCAAATATATTCAAATAAATAATTTGACAACCTTGGTCAATAATAAAATAAATCACACAAAACATAACATTTATCACACTAAATATTATTACATACTATTTTTTACGTGTTCATGCTTTAACGAAGTCATTAGTCATGAAAAATAAAGTGAGGATGAGAATGTAGTTTGAATATGTGGAAGAAAACTAGCAATGTGCCACTGTGGGAGTGATCATAGGCCTATCTGAGTGGGACTCGGCACAATTTGCTAATTGTTAACTTTGTTCTTTCACTACAACTCGTGTTTTATATTGATATATAACCATCTTTTATCATTTCTTCTTATTTTTTTTCTTTCCATTTTCTTCACCTCATTGTTACCAAAACCATCTATCTTTGGAGGGTGAGAATATTCATTCTCACCTTCCAATCTTGCTAACATTTTTGTTCTTTAAGATTTACAATCATAAAGCACAATATAACAAAACACATAGGTACATATCTTTGTACAAATAATTTTTATATATATCCTTGGATATACACACAATGATGTCTTTCCTTTTGTATGTTCCTATTCTTCTTTCAGTTTCTTTTTCTTTCCTTTTGCATGTGTTTAAGAAATACATTCACCTTCTATCATTATGTCTTGCTGCCATCTTTAACACTATTTTGTATGCTTTGCATTATTCTTTATTGTCAAAACATATTGGACTAATAAAGGATATTGATAAAGATATTGAAAGTTTGATACCTTGTACAAAAGATAGTGATTTTCAAAGCATCGATATTAATGATGAAATTGATGATGATGAAAAAATTACTAAAGATGAAGATGAAGATTACTCTTGGAACAGGACAAAGTTGGAGGAGGATAGAGGAAACTTCCCTCCACCAATTTCATCGCTAAATGAGCTTGGACAACCTAGTTTCATTTTTGTACCAATAAGAAAAAATGGAAGGATGCAACTTAATAAAATAAGAATAAGAAGGCCGGAAATTCTCCATGCTACACGAGAAGATGGACGATTGAGGTTATTTCTCATTCCAGATCATAATGTAGAAGAAGATATAGAAGAAAAAAAGAAAGAGGAAGAGGAGGAGAAGGAGAAACAAGAACTAGTTGATGATGATGATGNCAAAAGATAAAACGTTAAGGTCTGCATGCATGCATGTGCAGCTATACAATAGATAATATAAGTTAAATTAAGTTTTAAGTAAATAATTTAATATATGTGTATTTTCAATTGATTTCTTATTAACTTTTTTTCTATTGGATATTGACAATATATTTTACAATTCAGTCTTATTATTTAATTATTTTTTTTATTGAATGACGTGACTTTGTCTTGTCCATTATCTTACTTTTTTGGAAATATGAAGTGTTGTGATTAATATAAAACAATATTATAATTATAAAATAATAAATAATTTTTTTAATTTAATATTTTATATTAATTATAAGATTTTAAATTTTTTAATATTTTAAAATAAGAATGTAAAATAATGGAGGCAAGAAAATAATCATGTCATCCCAGTCACAAGAAATTAAATAATATATAGATGCTTAAATGAAAAATATAATTTTTTTATATATTCAATAAGTAAAATTTTTAGTAAAGATTTAATTAAAGATACACATTGACAATTTGAAGCTTAATTCAGTCTATAATATATCGCTTTTATGAAAATGATTTACCCATAATACAATATTTTGCTGCAAATCATTCAGCGCTGGGCGCCCGGATATGATCTCCAAAAGCAGGACCCCAAATGAATAAACATCAGTTTTTTCATCTACTATTCCGTGCATGAAATATTCAGGAGCAAAATAACTGTCAAGTGATTCATCAGGGAAACTTATTAAATCATCATGAGAACCTAAACTCTGATAACTTTTTTTCACTGCTTCTTTTCATTTTCTCTTTCATTTTTCATAAAACTAAAAACTAGTAAGACAACACATTTTGCTTTCAGCATTTTACAAAGCTTTAAAAACATGTTGCACAAAATCTTGAATTGAAAAATGGGAATGCCAGACTTAAAAGAATACCATCAGTAACTTTTTTTTATTTACATACCCAAATGTGCCTTCAAATTTTGATACATTATAGTGAGTCCACTGTTCAGGTAACCACTTTGCAAGCCCAAAATCACATATCTAGAAAACAATTAAATTATCAAGGAAGTGATATATAAAAAACAACCAGGAATATATACAACCTTAAAACACTCTTTGATCAAGTTTAATAGTATAACATAAAATGTAACAAGTCATGAAAGGTAACATTTAACAATTAACACAGAACATGACATGAAAACTGTTAAAATATTATCTTTTGGCAAAATTTGAAAGAGAAAAAGATAATAAGGATAATTAGAAAACAACTTCTTGCTGCTTAATTAGTGATAATACAAGGAGACATTTTCACGAGCAATAGAATATAAACTCAGTTTTTTTTATGAGAGGATGCAAATTTGCCTCTTATATTACTAAAATAAGCCGATTTTTAAAAAAAATGAAAATAGATAAATTATGTAATTCGCACACCATTTCATATAAAAATAGACAAATTTTAAAAATATTATCAAATTGTGTATTCTCTAGACGACTTCAATTTTAGTATACTTAAAAAGTTGAAGTCGTATACTCTTTAAACGACTTAAACACGTTTTAATCGATTATGAAAATTGATAATCGATTACGTAAAATTAGAGTAACGTGGGTGGGATATACAACTTAAAAATTGAAGTCATGTATAAGAGTAGACAATTTGGACTTTTTCAAATATAACAGACTTAAAATCATCTAAAAGATGCACACTTTCTTCGTATAAGTCAAATGGAAATTGTGCAATTTATCTATTTTCATAAATTTTAAAACTGTGTACTTTCGTAATATATGAGACAAAAGACAAAAGCCATAAATTTAACTTTGCCTATACATACATTGGAAAACAACATAAGATGATTATAACAGCAAAACTTAATATAAAATTGATAAAACTAATATAAGTTGATTATAACAGCAAAACGTAAGATAAAATTGATAAAACTAATGACTAAGCTAACACTCCTACACAGACGACAAGTTTAAACCAAGTTTAGTGAAAACCTGTGGCTCAAAATTATCCGTGACTAGAATATTCTCTGCCTTAATATCTCTGTGAATGATTCGTCTGTGACAACACTCATGCAGATAGAGGAGACCATCAGCTATTCCCAGAGCAATTTTATACCTTTTACTCCAATCTAGTTTGTTTTTATCTGAACCTGGAATACATAATGACAAAATAAACATGAAATACGTAGTAACAACTTTCAGGTACGAGGATACTAGAATCAAAATAGGTACAAACCATGAAGAAGAGATCCTAAACTTCCTAGTGTAGATAGTTCAAAGACAAGATGCATTTCTCTTTCTACACAACATCCAACCAGCTTGGCAGTATTAGGATGGTCAACGTGAGCAATTACGCCTAACTCAGATAGAAAGCCCGCAGTTTTTTCTTCTGTGGTTCCTTTATTCAATTTCTTCACAGCTACTAATTGTCCATCTTCGAGACACCCCTTGTAAACTTCAGCAAAACCACCTCTTCCGATTATATTTTCTACATGTAAAAGAGCAAATATATAAGAGTGAAAAATGAGTATCAGAATCAAATTTTGACCTAATTAGGGTGAGGTTTCATTTCATACCACTGTCAAAATTGTTGGTCGCTTTTCTGAGGTCAGAAAGGCTAAAAGTGACCCAAGAAGAGTTGAAGTTACATAGCTTGCTAAGAGCGTGATTTTCTCTAGTACTTCTGCTTTTCCATTTTGGTATCTTTGGAACACTAATATTGGAGAGGGTCCCTAGCCGTTTAAAAGATTTTTTCTTGAAAAGTTTGAAAAAATTGGTCCAGTTAGAGTGTGCCCTTGTGCTTGAACAACTTTTTTCTGGTTTAGTAAATATTCGAGAATCAAAGTCTTTCATGTATACTTCTAAGACTCCTCTTGGTGATGCCCCATTCTCTTTCTCTTTCTCCAATTCTAAATGCCTCAAATCTGGGAACATAAAAATGGAAATCATGAACAAAAAACAAAAGAAGCCTTGAGTCTTCTCAATTGAGATGAAAGGTTAGGATTTGAAAAGAACCATGAGCAGAAGATGAGCAAGACAAATCTTTTTTTTCAGGTTTAAGATTTAAAGCATCCCAAAGTGAAACCTTTTTCGATTTAGTCGCATTTTCCTGGTCCCTGTAATTGCATGTCCCATTATATCTCATAACAGAAAGTTATAAACAAAAAATGGATATTGATTTTGCATGATCTTAGGGCAACATTTACGCGGAAGAAGAGACATGGATACCATAAACACTTTTCTAGCGCTTGCTTGGCCATGAAAGAGAAGAAAAGACAAAAGAGAACGATGCAACTTGATGGTTGGGAAACTGAGAGGCCCTTGTTGAATAATTAAACGTGTTTTATTTCTTTGTATGTTAGAATGTGCAGTGATGGAGATGGATGAAATCCATAATGGAAATCAGAAAAAGGATTAATTAGGTTAGATTGTGTTACATTAGACATTGATGAGATGAAAGCATGTTGTGTTGTGGCGATATGTGCTCTCAACCAATGACAAACGAGAACATTACAGACAGGGAAAGCCAAGTGAACGACTTACGAGGAACGAAGGTTTGGAGTAGAACCCACCATTAGTTTTATTAGGGTTACTTTTTTCGATTTTATATCTACTTAATCCTAAAAATATAATTAATCAAGTGTGTTATTAGTGAATTTAGATTTAAAAATAGAGGATGTGCACTGCCTCTTTCCTCAATAATAATAATAATCAGTTAATTATACTATATCTTTTGGTTACACTTAAATTATTATCTCAAACATATGAGATTTACATTTTATTTTTATTATTGTTAAAGATCCTATTTGGTGTCAAAATATGTATATATACTTATTCAGTTTTATACCTTAATTAGTATGTAAACATATGTATCAAAATTATATTTAATGTTCTATTTGAAAATTAATTTTCCCAATTCCCTTAAAGAGATCCTCTTTAATATCATGCTTGTTTATTTACTTTAGACACTAGTGACACTAAAAATAGTTCAAATATATTCAAATAAATAATTTGACAACCTTGGTCAATAATAAAATAAATCACACAAAACATAACATTTATCACACTAAATATTATTACATACTATTTTTTACGTGTTCATGCTTTAACGAAGTCATTAGTCATGAAAAATAAAGTGAGGATGAGAATGTAGTTTGAATATGTGGAAGAAAACTAGCAATGTGCCACTGTGGGAGTGATCATAGGCCTATCTGAGTGGGACTCGGCACAATTTGCTAATTGTTAACTTTGTTCTTTCACTACAACTCGTGTTTTATATTGATATATAACCATCTTTTATCATTTCTTCTTATTTTTTTTCTTTCCATTTTCTTCACCTCATTGTTACCAAAACCATCTATCTTTGGAGGGTGAGAATATTCATTCTCACCTTCCAATCTTGCTAACATTTTTGTTCTTTAAGATTTACAATCATAAATCACAATATAACAAAACACATAGGTACATATCTTTGTACAAATAATTTTTATATATATCCTTGGATATACACACAATGATGTCTTTCCTTTTGTATGTTCCTATTCTTCTTTCAGTTTCTTTTTCTTTCCTTTTGCATGTGTTTAAGAAATACATTCACCTTCTATCATTATGTCTTGCTGCCATCTTTAACACTATTTTGTATGCTTTGCATTATTCTTTATTGTCAAAACATATTGGACTAATAAAGGATATTGATAAAGATATTGAAAGTTTGATACCTTGTACAAAAGATAGTGATTTTCAAAGCATCGATATTAATGATGAAATTGATGATGATGAAAAAATTACTAAAGATGAAGATGAAGATTACTCTTGGAACAGGACAAAGTTGGAGGAGGATAGAGGAAACTTCCCTCCACCAATTTCATCGCTAAATGAGCTTGGACAACCTAGTTTCATTTTTGTACCAATAAGAAAAAATGGAAGGATGCAACTTAATAAAATAAGAATAAGAAGGCCGGAAATTCTCCATGCTACACGAGAAGATGGACGATTGAGGTTATTTCTCATTCCAGATCATAATGTAGAAGAAGATATAGAAGAAAAAAAGAAAGAGGAAGAGGAGGAGAAGGAGAAACAAGAACTAGTTGATGATGATGATGATGTAAACGAAAAAGAAAAAGAACAATTTATAGTAGAATCAATAAAGGGATATGAAGAGGATAAGGAAGAGGTTCAAGAGATATGCAGCTACGACCATAAGAATATTTGTGTTGAAGGATTGAAACTTCCCAGTGATAGTTTTATGAAATATTATGAAGTTCTTAATCATATTGTTCATCATCATAAGGCTCTTGGGAGGTATTACCATTTACCTATGTATGGACTTTCTTTTGCATGAAATTAGTTGAAGACTCTAAATAGATTCATGTTAGGCATCATTGCCATTATATGAAGTTAAGTTTTGGAGGCTCACACATGGTATCTATACTTTTGTTTTATTGTATAGTTGTGATTGTATATTTTACTTATGTTTATACTTACTAAATTTCTCATTACAAAACATCCATGATCGATGTTATACTGAAAATGTATATGAACATAGTGAAATTATTTTCTTATTGGAGAAAAACAGTGTTTTGTGGTATATAAGTGTTATATATAAGAGTCTCTCAGTGATTTTAAAAGAGAGATCCACCAGGAAAATTTGAAAAATTACATGATAATGTTGTAGTTTCTATTCATACACTCCCGTAAAATCTAGAATTTTGTTTAGAAAAAACAACAACAAAAATTATGGAGCTGGTAGTCCTTCGTCCCTATTCTAAAAGTTCAAATAATAAGAAATTGAAAAAAGAAAAATATATGTCGAAGGATGCCTCTACTGCTAAATTTAGCTATTGGTATATTTTTTTTTTAACTTTTAATATTAAAGACATTTTTTTTTTATTTTCACTTTACAAATTAGAAACATATAAATAATTTCTTATTTGTTAATGTACATTTTGTTTGGAGGTGGTTATTTTAGTAACGATAATATTATTATTAATGGAAGACAATGAGAGATTTTAGTAACGATAAATAATTTCTTATTTCTTCTTATATAATTTTTCTTTCCTTTAAGTATAACTTTAATTTTTGTAGTAATTACTCTTTAAATAACTTCGTCTTTATCCATATGATCATCAGATTCTAAATTCAAGATTTGTGTTTTTCTTACATAATATTTTTGTTTATGTTTGTGGGTAAGGAGATGTTAGGAGATTTTAATTTGATATAGTTGATGGCTTGATTTTGAAAAATAAAAAATGTAATGATATTTTCTATTCTTCTCTTTACATACCGATTTTAAACTTATAATAACTTTATTTTAAAAGTAAAATTACACAAAATTTAATATTTAAAAATATATTATATAGTTTCTCACGTAAGCTATGATATGCGTGAAAAAGAAAAAGAAAAAGAAAAAGAAAATAATTAATTTTTTAAAGACATGATTTAAAAAAAAAAATTAAACTTCTAAGCTATGAAATGAGTAATAGAGTCAAAACAGATAAAGTTGAGTCAAACTTTATATTAAGTTTGAGTATCCTTTATTAAAAAAAAATTCTGATTCAAATTTATTTATTTGTTATAAATATTTTTAATGGTGTGATTTAAAAATATTCAGAAGTCTATTTCATTATAAAATCTTTAAAAGACTAGTAAACTTATTATATGGAATACGTTACTTATTTAAAAAATCTATTTTGTAGCTAGGTTATTTAAACGATGTTGAATTTATTTTTCAATGATTCTATAAGGTTGACTATTTATGTAATGCATATTAATTAATAAAATTAAATAAACGAATTTAGTGTATTATGAATAATTTAATACAATATTCCTAAAAAATATTATTTACATTTACATAGACTGATATGTTAGGATGAAAGTACTTTTTAGTATAAAGATTTAACATTCTTAACTAAATAAAACTTTATTAAAACTTAAGTTTAATCAAATTTATAAAAAAGTGTGTATGATTCGAACTTGATGTAAGCGATCATGGGATAATCCAACTTATTTTCTATCTTTAGTGATAACTCTTCTTGATAAATGTTATATTTAAGCTTAAAATATATTGTTTTAAAAATTTTAATATATATAAAGCAATCTTTTTCTTTTTTTAATCATTACAATTATTTTCAAACAAACACTTTATACAAATAAAAATATAAATAGACTCATACTTGTGAATATTCTTCGAACTTATTTTTATTTTGATAGAAAATCTCTCCACTAAAGTAAGGTTACAAGTGTACATACAAATTTTTTCATTGGATATATAGATCAGGATGTAAAATATATATTTGTTCCGTCTCATCTCAGTCTTTATTCTCGTTATTGTTTAAATTTCTATAATAATCATAATTTAATAAATAACCTAAAAGAGTTAGTATTCAACTTTGTAACCCTTATTTTTTTTTCCTTACACACATTTTTTTTCTTCTCTTTTAATTGTTTTTTATTTGATCTATCATCTTCATGATTTTTTTTCTTTTAACACAATTTTGATTATACATTTCTCTCTATGTAGTTATCTTCAACGTATTATTAATTTCAGTTAATTAATTAAATAGTTTTTAAGGTCTCACATTTAATTGTTTCTATACTCGTTTATAGTGATTTACTTGCCACTTGCTCTTTCGTTATATATCATTGTTTTTATTCGAACAGTCTATGATAATGTCAACGAAAGAGTACGACCTTTTCTAAATTTAAATTCTTAAGAAGTACATAAAAACTAAAACAGAAGATGCTAGAATCTAGTAAATTGATAAGTCAAGTGAAGAGTCGTCACAAAATACAAAGATGTTAATTTTTTATAAGAATCAGAATTCTAATTCAATAACCAAAACAATTCTCTCTCAAATAATAATGCAAACGTATATAATATGACTCAAAAATGTTTACATAAATCTTTAGTACATCTATATATAGAGACATAAGTTTAAGAAAACCTAGAAATCCTAAAAGAAAGTTCAAAGATATCGGGTTCAAAAATAACTTGAAAATTTAGAAACAAAAACAAATTGTTTACAATTAAGAGAAAATTACAAATATTTTTAACAGTGTAAACTATTGTATAATTATGCTCAAGCTATGATTTTCATGTTCCTTGACCTTGTCATATGTCTTTTGAATTGCAATAGGTCTTCCTCAAGTTCTTTTTCTATAGATCAAAGGATAGTCCTTTATTAGTTTGTTCTCCAACTGATTGAGTTTACCTACTAAAAATACTCTGATACTTAAAGTTAGTTCAGGTTCGATCAATTAAGCAATAAATGATGTAATAAATGTATGGTAAAAAGTTTCAATAATCATATTTTTTATTTATATTTATAATTTTCTCCTTGGACTTGAATATGGTTGACCTAATAACAATCCAATTTCATTAAATCTGATTAGTAACCTATTTATATTAGCTAGATAATTAGTTGATTTCGATCGTAATCATCTATCTCCTTCAAACTTGGACGATCAATAAAGAAATTTGGTTACTATGTACCTTCTAATGACATATATAGTACAATACTCATTTTTAATATTTTTATTTATTGTTTATTTTTTCTACATGAGAATGTTTCACTTTCAATTTTAATTATTCAATTTTGTAAACACTCTTTATTTACTAGGTAATAAGAAAGAATTTATCTTCTTTATTCTCTTATATCCTGAATTTTTATTTCGAACTTTTTGTTTTACTCATATAACTTTTTATTATTTTTTAATGGTTCAACTAGATCGATAATTTATTTGGAATGTTTTGTTTTTCTATCTCCGAATTATTTTTCTATTTTATCAGACATTTAATTATATATATTTTCTCTTCATCCAATGGTGTACAGATTTGATATTTTTACTTCGTTTTAATATTTTTATTTGTTATTTCTTTTATCGTGTAGAATATTGTTTTAATAATTTTTTATATTTTAAAATTTATTCTCATAAATTTATATCACTGTAATTACATAAATTAATGTAATAATTTAATGTCATGTCTAAATTTGAATTATTATTAGGTTAATGTTTTTTCTAAGCTTTATTAATGTATAAAAAATATTTCTTTATAATCTAGAGAAGAAAAATCTGAATAAATGGTATAAATATAAAAGCATATTAAGTCTAAAATTTATATAAAAGACAAATTCATTTTTATTAGAATACTAGAATAATAAAAGAAAGCGTTAAATATATTTTTAATTTCTAAATTGAAATATAAAATTAAAATTCATACGTATCTTGGATTTTAATACATTTTTGTCTCAACTTTTAAAAGACAAATAAATATAATTTTTTTATCTCTGCGTTATTTCTTCATATGTTAAATGTGTTTTTAGATGAGATTTTAGTTATTTGCATCATTTAAAAAAAAAAAATCTAGCTTAGCAGTTTAAAACACATTTAATAAAAAAAAAATTAATGTTATTAAATTTAAAAAAATTAAAGAGTAAAATATATTAAAATTTGAAAGAAAAAAACAAATTCAAATTCGACACTTAAATTCAAAAATAAAAAGATACTTAACCCAAAAAAAATAATTATTCGTTGGCTTAAAAGTTGTGTAATGTACTAAAACTATTTTTTTTATTACACAATAGAGAAAATACACAGTTGTGTTTTTGTGTTTATATTTTTCTATCTAAAAAAGTAAAATTTTAGAAGTAAAATATAATTATTTCATATGAAAGAAATAAGGAATTGTATTTGATGAATTATCCAAATAGGTTTTATTAGAAAGATGGTATTACTATATATAATTAAATAATAAACTTATCTATTTTATACAAAATAAAATCATTTAATAAAAAGTATAAAAGAATATTCTGACATAAATAACAATGTTATCAATAATACTTGTAATTTTTGTCGTAACAAAGAAAAGTTTTCTTAATTAAAAATGTTTGTAGTTGTTTATACTTTTTAAAATTATATCATTTTTATAAAATTAGGTAAACACCGTGTCCGCTGATACAGTGGGGTTGAAGTTTGAAAAGAGTACAACATTCAAAATAAGAAAAGAAAAGTAATTAAAATTTTCAACAAAAAGCTACCAAAATTTATAGATGGGTGAGAAGTAGGTGTACACGCTTACGCCATACAGCTGCAGGGCTTGACCAGAGGAACTCTCCTAAAATCAAATTAATTTAATTATTATTAATATAAAATAAAGTCATTTTTACTGTGAAAACGGTTTTCTATTCATAATAAATATGTTGACATAGAGTTGTATATATATAAAAGCAATTAAATTCTGATATTTACAAAACTAGTAACAGTATTTGATTTTCAAAATCCGTTGCAGAAAGAAAGGGCGTGTCTGTTCAAATTCTGAAGTAGTTAGAACATTGTAAATTTGAAATTGAGGGAGAAAAGAAAAATATGAAGGGAGTGCTGCCGAAGAGAATAATTCTGATGAGGCATGGGGAGTCGCAGGGGAACCGAGACATGGCGGCGTACACCACAACTCCCGACCACAGCATTCATTTAACCGCGCAGGGTGTCGCACAGGCGCGTCAAGCTGGCGTCCGCCTCCGCCGAGTGATTGGCGGGGACGGCTGCTCATCGGACTGGCGAGTGCAGTTCTACGTGTCGCCGTACGCTCGCACGCGATCGACGCTGCGCGAGGTAGGTCGGTGTTTCTCGAAGAAGAGGATAATTGGCGTGAGGGAAGAGTCGCGGATTCGGGAGCAGGACTTCGGGAACTTTCAGGAGGAAGAGAGGATGAAGGTGATAAAAGAAGCCCGCGAACGGTTCGGGAGGTTCTTCTATCGCTTCCCCGAGGGAGAGTCCGCCGCCGACGTTTTCGATCGCGTTTCAAGTAACCTAACTCTCTCTTCTTTACCATTGGTCTACAAAATGAACTTCTCATTATCCTTCATTTTTTTATTTAATTTATCGATAAATACTTTAGCAGTTGAAATTATCACGATTTGAACGAACTTTCACAGAACTAATAATTCATAAGAGAAGAACGATAATTAGACTCGTTTTTCTTAGTTTTAATAATTTTCAATCCATGAAGACGCGTTTTAAAAAATGCTTCTCTGACATATTTAACTAAAAAAAGAGAGACTAATCTATGTTAAAAATCTTAGTGAAAACTTTTGCTGAGATCTTCTGTTCTAAAATCTATATTTTCTTTATCCACCTTTGAAAGAAAGATCTTGCTTAAAAGATGCAGACTTAATTTAAGTATGATGAAATGAAACTAATACATGTCCTTCCAACATAAAGGTTTTCTAAAGATCATTCATTAATTACTATTATAAGCAGTAATACCAATAATAATTTTTCTTGATATCAAACTTTAACATGAGTAATGTTTTTTCTCTATGAATTTGGAGAATGAAAGGGAATCAAATCGGTTCTCAAGCACAAATGTTACCAGCTAGTTTGATTATTATATTGAGGTATCAAACGGTTATGGAATAAAGTGAAATGGGTATAGGAGACGGAAAGGATTAGATAACAGAATAAATTTATATCTTTGCATATTTGAAAATGATAAATATATTTTTAATAGTTGAAATTTAAAGTAAAATTGGAATTCCTCTTTTTGAAACTTTTGATATATATTGTTCCAAACTTTAATAATAGACTACTATTATAATTTTAATACAAAAAAAAATTAAAAATTTAAATTGATTAAAAAAACTATATTTAGTTATGATTTAAATTTAAAGACAGCATAAAATATACCAATGTTTCATATAAAAAAGAATTTCAATTTTATATTAAATGTTCATTTACTAAAAATATATTTAATTTTATTTTAATTTGACAAATGTGACCAATAATATTTTAAAATTTTAGCATATTTTATGACGTAAGATGTTGAAATTAAACAAAATTTTAAAAATAAGCTTCTGTTTTTTTTTTTTTCATTTAAACTTATTTGCCCATATCATTATTGAGGTTTAACGCTTTTCCATATTTTAATTTCTGAGTGTCAGCTTAACAAATTATATTACTATTTTTTTTTTAAAATTAAGTATATTTTACTTCTTTTTGTCTGAGTTTTGTCGGTCATTATGACATTAACATTTATCAGACTTAAACTAAGAAGTCAAATGTGTTTAATTTTAAAATATTAGTGATAAAATTTATTGAATTGAAACTTGTATGAAAAAATTTTGAATGGTAAAATGTGCAATTAGAGTCAAACTAAAACAAATTTCGTATTAAAATTTTTGTTGTCTAGTGTGAACTATTAGATAGTTCATGATTGTGTCAAGTAATCACTATGTTAAATATTTGTCAAAGTTTTTAGGAAAGTAATTTTTTCTTTAATATTAAAACATAATGGTAAAACGTGTCTGGATAACATTATTCCGTCTTGATTGGTTTACAGGTTTCTTTGAATCTCTGTGGAGGGACATAGACATGAACAGGCTTCGTCACGATCCTTCCAATGATTTGAATTTCGTAATTGTTTCTCACGGGCTGACATCGCGTATTTTCCTTATGAAGTGGTTCAAGTGGACGGTTGAGCAGTTTGAGGTCCTAAACAATTTTGGGAACTGCGAGTTTCGTGTTATGGAGCTAGGAAGTGGTGGTGAATACAGCTTAGCTGTTCATCATACAGAAGAAGAAATGCTGGAATGGGGACTCTCTCCTGAGATGATAGCTGACCAAAAATGGCGTGCCACGGCGTGCAGGGGTGACTGGAATGATCAGTGTCCCTGGTACCTTGGGGAGTTTTTTGATCATCTTACAGACTCTGATGATGATGATGCTCCTGTGGAAAATGAAGGTGATCCTAATTCTTTAAGTGTATGTACATAGTGTGCTTCCCATATTGGTTTATAGATTGATTTGTTTTAAATTACATGAGAAGGGGTTCAATAGGATGGAAGGAAACTAGGAAAGTGATAGTTTACTCATAGGTAGTCTTTTGATTGTAGGTCGACTACGCAACTTTATTCTGTTTGTAGGGCTTTGTATAATTGTATTAAAGCTTCTTTTACTTCTTGTCACGATGGCAAAGCCTGCGTTATCATTGTTTACAAAATATTGCAATGTTTTAATCTGAGTTCAGTATGGTTTCTATGATGGATATGATGAATCTCGGCACGATCATTTTGTTCAGTATGGTTTATTAAATTTCTCTGATTCATTTTCAAATGCGGTCTAGTATAGAACAAACAGATATTGCACAGGACAAAGTTGGAGTATTTGCAAATATTATTGGTATCACAGTCTAGTGAGAAACTCAAATGAGAGGACATGTGCATTTAATAAGATGAATAGTTGATTTCTTTCGCATTTAAGAAGCAGAAGAGGACTTAGAAATATTAATGTAAAGAATAAAAGAGAGCAAATCGTAGAATCATTATGGCGACCCATGGCATTCACACGGGCTTGTGTAAACTCTAAACCACTAACATATTACACTCTGAAACGTGAAATTAAGAAAAGGAATATGACTTGTCAGTGAGATCAGAAGCCACTTTCAGAATAGGTCGCGGAGGAGGCATTGGTTCTTCTTCCTCATCCCGAGAACCTATTTTTTGGAAGGACTTACTCCAGATCCTCTTAAACTTCTTAGGTGGCGGAATCTCTTCCACGTTCTCATTTATGCTTACGGTTTTCCTTATAGATCGCGTTGCTGCTAAAGTTGGCGCTGGCGTTGGCGTTGGCGATGTTAATACCTCATTTTTTCCTTCCATCTTATTATCATCGTTCATGCATGAGTTATTCTTCTCTTCAGCTAGCTGTACATGAGAAGAAATAGAGTCACCTGCAAGACCTTTAGTTGGTGGAAGCTTCTTGCCGTCATTAACTTCGCTTGGTGTCTCTGACTGAACCTCGTCTTTAGAGTCAGAACCTCTTAGCGCAGTCGAGCTTGAACTGTCATGTCTAGAACGCCCTAAAGTCACCTTCTTTGACGCTTGCGAAGTCAGAGCTTTTTTTAGGAAATGGTAGAGCCTGCAACAAATAGGTTGAAAATGGACTTCTCTTTGGTCCATCTGCTAAAACTTACCCAGAGAAAAAAAAAGTGATATGAAAAGGGTGGAAGAAGAGATTGATTAAACCCACCGTCAACTAACAATATAAAAGTTTATACCAGGAAGTAGATATTGAAATATTTTGAAGATATTCTTTGCTTTTCTTAGAAAGTTGCCATTGAATCTGAAAGTAGAAAGCAAGAACATAGGAAGGCATTGCTTGAGACTGCATCTCCCCTGCTCTGATTATGTTTACTGCGATACGACCAAAATTAATTATTAATTGTTATGCTTTAGTTACTCTTTCCAAATTATTAGCAGGGTTGTCGAATTAATACGGAGTTGACAATGTATTTGTCGTGATGAAATCTACAGGGTTGGAGAATAGAATCTCTTTTGCCCATTCTTCCACGTTTACTATTTCATTAATGTTTTACGTTGGCAGATTCCATTCCCACAAGGAAAGAAACTGATAAGGAGACACGAAGAAATAAAACATTTCCAAATGAATTTCATTCGAATAACAAAATTTGCACAGGTTTACACCTATACTTTTATATTCAGAGGACAAGGCTCCAGAGACAAACAAATATAAGAATTCAGCTCAACAGTTACAAGATGCAACACGGGAACAGCTAACTATCATAAATATTAGTCTTTTTATTCAACTAGATAAGTATGATGCTTTTGGTGTTATCCGTCCACATAGACGCCACCTTGCGCCAGGGTGAAACATGGACTTCTCAAATACCCATATATCACGGACAAGAACCTGGTAAATATAGGAGCAAACTTGAGTGACCAATTGATTTTGGAAGTCAAAAGGATACGAAGTTCCCTTCACTAAAACAGTTTGTCATTTCCTAGAAAAAGAATGAGTTTGGAGATGGTTTCTCATTTACTATAAAAATACATGCTTAATTGTCCCGTAGACAAACTTCTAAAGAACATAAAATTTGAAATACAAAAAACTGTTTTTAAAAACAATAATTAGCAAGCATCATTATTACCTCCTTGCTTTTATCTCCGGCTACCACAGATCCTTTCGAGTCAAATGCTTCAAATTTCTGCAATTAATATAACATTTATTTAATGTTGAGTGGTTTAAATTCCTATTACTCATGGTATAAGTTTTCAGGGATTGGACCAATTTTAATGTAAAGCATACCTGTTTAGCCAAAATCTCGAGAGTAAGCTGAATAAATGTTTTATCTAGGTCTTTCCGATCAACTCCAATCTGTAATTGAAAAGAAAGTCATCAATAAAAGAAATCATTATATTGAAAACCAAAATACTGAATTGAAAATATGTGCACTCGTGTGAGAGAGAGAGTGACAATACAATTCAGCATCACATATAATCTGCACTTCAGCATAAAGCTAGTAGATCAAAAGGACGTGCTTGGTTGACTAGCACTTCAGAATATTTCAATTATATACAATTAAAATTTTGTTGAACTATTTCATCCCAGAATTTATAAAGCGCAAACTACTTTAAAAACTTCAAAATTAAGTTTTTTGTTCATCATGATGCCTACAAAAGATATAACTAGTAACTCCAGGGAGATCTCCAGAGAAACTATACAAAGATACCAAGAAACAAACTGATTAACTTCAAATTTTTCAGTAGTAAAATGGTCAGAACATCTCTAGCAATGCATCCTACNTTTTTTTTTTTTTCATTTAAACTTATTTGCCCATATCATTATTGAGGTTTAACGCTTTTCCATATTTTAATTTCTGAGTGTCAGCTTAACAAATTATATTACTATTTTTTTTTTTAAATTAAGTATATTTTACTTCTTTTTGTCTGAGTTTTGTCGGTCATTATGACATTAACATTTATCAGACTTAAACTAAGAAGTCAAATGTGTTTAATTTTAAAATATTAGTGATAAAATTTATTGAATTGAAACTTGTATGAAAAAATTTTGAATGGTAAAATGTGCAATTAGAGTCAAACTAAAACAAATTTCGTATTAAAATTTTTGTTGTCTAGTGTGAACTATTAGATAGTTCATGATTGTGTCAAGTAATCACTATGTTAAATATTTGTCAAAGTTTTTAGGAAAGTAATTTTTTCTTTAATATTAAAACATAATGGTAAAACGTGTCTGGATAACATTATTCCGTCTTGATTGGTTTACAGGTTTCTTTGAATCTCTGTGGAGGGACATAGACATGAACAGGCTTCGTCACGATCCTTCCAATGATTTGAATTTCGTAATTGTTTCTCACGGGCTGACATCGCGTATTTTCCTTATGAAGTGGTTCAAGTGGACGGTTGAGCAGTTTGAGGTCCTAAACAATTTTGGGAACTGCGAGTTCCGTGTTATGGAGCTAGGAAGTGGTGGTGAATACAGCTTAGCTGTTCATCATACAGAAGAAGAAATGCTGGAATGGGGACTCTCTCCTGAGATGATAGCTGACCAAAAATGGCGTGCCACGGCGTGCAGGGGTGACTGGAATGATCAGTGTCCCTGGTACCTTGGGGAGTTTTTTGATCATCTTACAGACTCTGATGATGATGATGCTCCTGTGGAAAATGAAGGTGATCCTAATTCTTTAAGTGTATGTACATAGTGTGCTTCCCATATTGGTTTATAGATTGATTTGTTTTAAAGTACATGAGAAGGGGTTCAATAGGATGGAAGGAAACTAGGAAAGTGATAGTTTACTCATAGGTAGTCTTTTGATTGTAGGTCGACTACGCAACTTTATTCTGTTTGTAGGGCTTTGTATAATTGTATTAAAGCTTCTTTTACTTCTTGTCACGATGGCAAAGCCTGCGTTATCATTGTTTACAAAATATTGCAATGTTTTAATCTGAGTTCAGTATGGTTTCTATGATGGATATGATGAATCTCGGCACGATCATTTTGTTCAGTATGGTTTATTAAATTTCTCTGATTCATTTTCAAATGCGGTCTAGTATAGAACAAACAGATATTGCACAGGACAAAGTTGGAGTATTTGCAAATATTATTGGTATCACAGTCTAGTGAGAAACTCAAATGAGAGGACATGTGCATTTAATAAGATGAATAGTTGATTTCTTTCGCATTTAAGAAGCAGAAGAGGACTTAGAAATATTAATGTAAAGAATAAAAGAGAGCAAATCGTAGAATCATTATGGCGACCCATGGCATTCACACGGGCTTGTGTAAACTCTAAACCACTAACATATTACACTCTGAAACGTGAAATTAAGAAAAGGAATATGACTTGTCAGTGAGATCAGAAGCCACTTTCAGAATAGGTCGCGGAGGAGGCATTGGTTCTTCTTCCTCATCCCGAGAACCTATTTTTTGGAAGGACTTACTCCAGATCCTCTTAAACTTCTTAGGTGGCGGAATCTCTTCCACGTTCTCATTTATGCTTACGGTTTTCCTTATAGATCGCGTTGCTGCTAAAGTTGGCGCTGGCGTTGGCGTTGGCGATGTTAATACCTCATTTTTTCCTTCCATCTTATTATCATCGTTCATGCATGAGTTATTCTTCTCTTCAGCTAGCTGTACATGAGAAGAAATAGAGTCACCTGCAAGACCTTTAGTTGGTGGAAGCTTCTTGCCGTCATTAACTTCGCTTGGTGTCTCTGACTGAACCTCGTCTTTAGAGTCAGAACCTCTTAGCGCAGTCGAGCTTGAACTGTCATGTCTAGAACGCCCTAAAGTCACCTTCTTTGACGCTTGCGAAGTCAGAGCTTTTTTTAGGAAATGGTAGAGCCTGCAACAAATAGGTTGAAAATGGACTTCTCTTTGGTCCATCTGCTAAAACTTACCCAGAGAAAAAAAAAGTGATATGAAAAGGGTGGAAGAAGAGATTGATTAAACCCACCGTCAACTAACAATATAAAAGTTTATACCAGGAAGTAGATATTGAAATATTTTGAAGATATTCTTTGCTTTTCTTAGAAAGTTGCCATTGAATCTGAAAGTAGAAAGCAAGAACATAGGAAGGCATTGCTTGAGACTGCATCTCCCCTGCTCTGATTATGTTTACTGCGATACGACCAAAATTAATTATTAATTGTTATGCTTTAGTTACTCTTTCCAAATTATTAGCAGGGTTGTCGAATTAATACGGAGTTGACAATGTATTTGTCGTGATGAAATCTACAGGGTTGGAGAATAGAATCTCTTTTGCCCATTCTTCCACGTTTACTATTTCATTAATGTTTTACGTTGGCAGATTCCATTCCCACAAGGAAAGAAACTGATAAGGAGACACGAAGAAATAAAACATTTCCAAATGAATTTCATTCGAATAACAAAATTTGCACAGGTTTACACCTATACTTTTATATTCAGAGGACAAGGCTCCAGAGACAAACAAATATAAGAATTCAGCTCAACAGTTACAAGATGCAACACGGGAACAGCTAACTATCATAAATATTAGTCTTTTTATTCAACTAGATAAGTATGATGCTTTTGGTGTTATCCGTCCACATAGACGCCACCTTGCGCCAGGGTGAAACATGGACTTCTCAAATACCCATATATCACGGACAAGAACCTGGTAAATATAGGAGCAAACTTGAGTGACCAATTGATTTTGGAAGTCAAAAGGATACGAAGTTCCCTTCACTAAAACAGTTTGTCATTTCCTAGAAAAAGAATGAGTTTGGAGATGGTTTCTCATTTACTATAAAAATACATGCTTAATTGTCCCGTAGACAAACTTCTAAAGAACATAAAATTTGAAATACAAAAATCTGTTTTTAAAAACAATAATTAGCAAGCATCATTATTACCTCCTTGCTTTTATCTCCGGCTACCACAGATCCTTTCGAGTCAAATGCTTCAAATTTCTGCAATTAATATAACATTTATTTAATGTTGAGTGGTTTAAATTCCTATTACTCATGGTATAAGTTTTCAGGGATTGGACCAATTTTAATGTAAAGCATACCTGTTTAGCCAAAATCTCGAGAGTAAGCTGAATAAATGTTTTATCTAGGTCTTTCCGATCAACTCCAATCTGTAATTGAAAAGAAAGTCATCAATAAAAGAAATCATTATATTGAAAACCAAAATACTGAATTGAAAATATGTGCACTCGTGTGAGAGAGAGAGTGACAATACAATTCAGCATCACATATAATCTGCACTTCAGCATAAAGCTAGTAGATCAAAAGGACGTGCTTGGTTGACTAGCACTTCAGAATATTTCAATTATATACAATTAAAATTTTGTTGAACTATTTCATCCCAGAATTTATAAAGCGCAAACTACTTTAAAAACTTCAAAATTAAGTTTTTTGTTCATCATGATGCCTACAAAAGATATAACTAGTAACTCCAGGGAGATCTCCAGAGAAACTATACAAAGATACCAAGAAACAAACTGATTAACTTCAAATTTTTCAGTAGTAAAATGGTCAGAACATCTCTAGCAATGCATCCTACCAAAGCTAATCATAGTTATACTATTACTTGATCCAATGGGACCAGATTTTGATAAGTGATGCTTCAGTGTTAGCAAGTTCACGCCTCAGCTCTTTGATGTGATCTAATGCCAGTAAAGGCAGATGTTCTTTCTATTGTTTCATATTTGTGCTATATTTTTAGTTCCCCTGCCACATCATGACCAAAACTTAAATACAGTACAGAAGAATACTAACCAGACGTGCCCGCAAAGTTCGAATCATAACAACAGGCTCAACCATTTCCCAATATACCTTGCTCCATGCAGATTCTCTTTGTTTAATTTCATTCTTAAGTGCCTTGGACAAGAAAATGAACACAAGATCTCAAAAATTAAATTATATTCCCTTTAGAAATTATTAATGAAAATAATACACAGAATTGCATTATAGGTCATATTCACTAATAAAATCACATAAAAGAACTGAAGCATACAGAAAACATCTTCTCAGTAACTGATTTCCGTAAAGATCTTCTGTCACCATTGGCTATTAGAGTGTTTATCTGAAAAAAAAATGTATATATATATATATATATATAAAATATCAGCATTGGGGCTAACAAGATATCCCTACTGAAATCATAGAGGAAAAGAAAGTCAGTACAACAACGTATACTACAACCAATAGAAAGAAACTACCAAGAAATAAGGATTACAAATTGTCCTAGCTGGTTAAAATTCAAAACATGAACAAAGACCAGACAAAGTGTCTTCTGTACTTAATTTCTTCAAGGCATTTGTTTAAATTGTTTCTCCTGAACACTATCTGAATTGGCTGTATCACTCCAAAATGGTCTCCCTTCAAATCTTTCCAATAATACACTCTCCTAATATATTAAATTATAACTACCATGCACCAACATTCTATAACAGAAAGTGCGTGCTTCCAATTTTGGCATTCACAAGGAGTGGCAATTCCACAAAATAAGAGTGATTTTGTTTCTTAAGACAGGGCATCAAATGCCATTAGGTATCTGCTTTACCCACACAATCTGTTCAATTAAATAAGGATTTGAAATCATCATAAGTAACTCAACAACTAGCAGAGATTTCAAATTTAAAAAAGACTGCATGTTCAGAGCAGCATATTCATCATTCATAATTTTGAACAATTTAAACACTTGTATCAAATTAAATTAATTAACAATTGATCCCTCTAGTTTTCAACAAATTGATGTAATATCATCTGACAATCTTGAAGATTTGGAACTGATCGACATCATCTCTGTGGCAGTAGAGAATCCAGAGATAGTGCAACACCAGCAAACATGAGCCCCGTAAGAAAAGATATGGGAATACAAGTCAGTTTTACAAATGTGGCACAGTGGCACTATCTTTTCTGACAATAGAAACAATGAAACAACAGGAGGACTGAATTTTTTTATTTGTTTCAATTAGAAATTTCAAACATATGAATGATATTGTTAAAGTTGAAACTAGTGGGACCAAAAGTGTAATTAATAAGATATTTTTTCCATTTCTTAATTTCTTTTAGTTTTAGTTCTACAGTAGTGCTGCCTGAACTAACAGGTAATTGGTAAAAGATCTTATCAAATGGTAGAATCAGTAGCAAGAAAGAAAAACACATTATTTGATTTACTTAGCAGACATCACCACCTAAAGGAGAAAGACTTTGCGGGTTAGTTGTTGTTTGATCTTGTCACGATGAATTAGAAAAAAAAAACTTAGTAAAGGCAACAGAGCATACCTCCTTGTACATATTGACAGCCTCTTTGTAGAACTGTTTTTTTGAATATCCCTTTTTTCTTAACTTAGCAATAGCATAGGCACTTTTGAGCTGCAACAGAGTAAAACACAAAGCTTGATTAAGGTTATTGATAGGCTCCATTAAAATAAAAGGGTCCAGGGTCAATATTTTCAGATTGATTTTAATTTTCTTTTTCTTTTCCACTCTGTTATAAAAGAGAATATTTAGAAGAAAAAGGGAAGAATGTACTCAAAAAGGAAAATAATTCCTCCCGACAGCAACAATCTGCTGCGATTCTCCAAGAATGGGTGTAAAGAAAAGAGAGAAGAATGGATCAAAATAAAAGGATCCAAGGACAAAACTTTCAGAGTGATTTTTATTTTCATTTTCTTTTCCAATCTATTATAAAAGAGAATATTTAGGAGAAAAGGAGAAGAATGAAGTC